TTTCTTTCTTTCTTTTTTTTCTGAGACAGAGTCTTGCTCTGTTGCCCAGGCTGGAGTGCAGTGGTGTGATCTCGGCTCACTGCAACTTCCGCCTCCCGGGTTCAAGCAATTCTCCTTCCTCAGCCTCCCAAGTAGCTTGGATTATAGGTGCCTGCCACTGTGCCTGGCTAATTTTTGTATTTTTAGTAGAGATGGGGTTTCACTATGTTGGTCAGGCTGGTCTCGAACTCCTGGGAGGCCTGCCTCAGCCTCCCAAAGTTTTGGGATTTCAAGCATGAGCCACTGCACCCAGCCTTCTTTCCTTTTTCCTTTTTTTTTTTGACAGCATTTCCCTTCATCACCCAGCCTGGAGTGTAGTAGTGCAATCTCATCTCACTGCAACCTCTGCCCCCCAGGTTCAAGTGATTCTTGTGCCTCAGCCTCCGGAGTAGCTGGGATTATAGGTGTGTGCCACCATGCCCAGCTAACTTTTTTTTTGTATTTTTGGTAGTGATAATATTTTACCATGTTGGTCAGGCTGGTCTTAAACTCCTGATATCAACTGATCCACCCACCTCAGCCTCCCAAAGTGTTGGGATTACAGGTGTGAGCCACCATGCCTGGGTCAAATACTATACTCTATTGATTACTATAGCTTTATACTATGTTTTGAGGTCATATGTGAGTCCTCCACCTTTGTTTTTCAAAGTTGTTTAGGTGATTCTAGTTTCTTTGGAAAATTTTATGCAAATTTTAGGATCAGATTGTTAATTTCCACAAAAAAGCCTCTTGCCATTTTAATTGCATTAAATCTATAGATCAGTTTGGGTAGAATTGACATATTGAGTCTTCTCATCCATGAACACAACCTAATTCTTATTTACATCTTCTTTAATTTTTCTCAGCAGTTTTACAGTTTTTAATGTACAGATATTGCACAGCTTCTGTCAGTTTTATTTCTAGGTATTTCATATTTTTTGATGCTATTATAAATAGCATTATTATCATTATTTTGTGAGATGGAGTCTCGCTCTGTTGTCAAGGCTGGAGTGCAGTGGCACAATCTTGGCTCACTACAACCTCTGCCCCCCAGGTTCAAGCAATTCGCTGCCTCAGCCTTCCATGTAGCTGGGATTACAGGCACTCACCACCACGTCTGGCTAATTTTTGTATTTTTAGTAGAGACAGGGTTTCACCATCTTGACCAGGCTGGTCTTGAACTCCTGACCTCGTGATCTACCCGCCTCAGCCTCTGGAAGTGCTGGGATTACAGGCGTGAGCCATGGTGCCCAGCCTAATAGCGTTATTTTTAAAAACTTTCATTTGATTATTTGTTTCTTGGATATAGAAATCCCATAGATTTTTGTGTATTAATTTTGTATCCTGAAACTTTGCTGAAGTTGCTTATTAGTTCTAGTAGCGTTTTTGTAGCTTGTACCCACCTTTCTACACAGAGAACCATGTCGTGAATTAGGCAATTTTCCTTTCTGATCTGGACACCTTTTATTTTTTCTTGCCTTGTTGATTTGATTAGAGTGTTCAGTACAGTGTGGAGTAGAAGCGAGCATCCTCGCCTCAGTCTTGCTCTGAGGGGCAACGTCCACCTGTTGCCATGATGTATGGATTATGATCTAACTTGGGTTTTTAATATCTGGCTGAGGCATTCTTCCTATTCCTAGTTTGCTGAGAGACTTTATGAGGAGTGAATGTTAGATTTTGTCAAATGCCTTTACTGCATTGATTATGATAATCATGAATTTTCCGTTCTTCATCTGTTAATATGATGAATCACATTGATTTTGTTAAACTATCCTTGCATTCTGGAAGAAACCCTGCTTGGCGATATTATAGTATTCTTTTTATATATTGTTGGATTTTGATTTACTAGAATTTTTAAAATAATTTTTGCATCTATGTTCATGAGGGAAATTGGTCTGTAACTTTCTTGTGGTGCTTTTGGTTCAGAGGAGAGCTGGCCTCAGCAAATGAGTTGGGAGACAGTTCCTCTTCTTCAGTTTTCTCAAAGAGTTCTATAAAATGGGCATTCTTTTCTTTTTGGATACAGAGTCTTGCTCTGTTGCCCAGGCAGGAGTGGAGTTGGACACATCAGGGCTCACTGCAGTCTCAACCTCCCAGCAAAGTGATCTTCCCATCTCAGCCTTCTGAGTAGCTGGGACCAGAAGTGTGTGCTACCACATCTTGCTAATTTTTAATTTTTAGTAGAGACGAGGTCTAACCATGTTGCCCAGGCTGGTCTTGAAGCCTCCGCACTCCAGGGATGACACCTCCACTCAGATCACATGGAAACGTCGGGTCCCCAAAGCCCCTCTGGCTGTCCCCAAAATCCACTCCTGGAGCCCTTTGTGCTCTGTTGGCCTCTGCGTGGTCCTGGCCTGTCTGGCCACCCCTGGGCTCCTTCCTGGTGTGTCACACCTCCCTCACTACTGTCCCTCCTGGCTCCAGGCACCTGCCCAGACACCTCTCCATTGGCTCCTCTCACATTTGAGACACACGGCACAACCATGGGTGCTTCCACTGGGAAGCAGCTGAGGCCTCAGGTGGCCTCCTTGGGGCCCATATTAGTTTGAGACACTTGAGGCCTGTTAAGTTCCATCCCACAGACCCCTCTGAGCCTCCTCCATCACCACACATGTGGGAAGATCCAGGCCAGTGGGGCCCAGCCAAGCTGGGGATGGGGAGCATCCCAGGGAGCTGGGGACTCTTGGAGGCCAAAGGTTGGAGAGGGTGGAGGCTGCTCAGCCAGAGCCAGAGCAGCCCCTTGGGTGGGACCATTGCAGAAAATGGATAGTCATTCAAACCGTGCTTGCTTGTCGAACTGCAAAGGAGTTTTGTCCAGAGGAATGAAGTAGGTGACTGTTTTGTAGATATTGGCCTGTTCTATGTGATCTCAGCACCCTGGATTGTCGGTGGTGGTTTAGGTCCTCCTTGAAACTGGACTCGGACTCTCAAGAAGGTGCTTCACTCATTAGTGTTGTGTCTCCTAAAAGAGATGTCGGAGTCTCAACCTCCAGCACCTGTGAGTGTGACTTTGTTTGAAAGTAGGGTCTTTGCAGACTTAATTAGTCAATTTGGGGGCATGGTGGACCAGGGTGGCCTTATAAGAAAAGAGACGTTTGGACACGGACACAGAAGATGCAGGGAGAGTGCTGTGTGGAGACAGAACGGTGGAGGCTGGAGGGATGCATCTGTAAGCCAGGGAGCATCAGGGTTCCAGCAACTGCCAGAAGCTGGAGGAGGCGAAGGAGGGTCATCCCTGGAGTCTTCCGACAGAGTGCAGCCCTGTCAACACCTGCCTCCAGACTTCCGGCCTCCAGAACTAGAGAGAGTGAGTTTCTGTTGTTCAGGCCAGCCCGTCTGTGGTCCCTTAGTATGGCAGCCCCAGGAGACCCATGCAGTGTGTGTGGAAGGAGCGGCCCAAACAGAGGAAACCACAGGCAGAAGCCTGAAGACCACAGGCATGCATGTCCCGGGAGTGGGGAAGAGGCGCTGGGGCACGTCTGAGAGTGGGGAAGGAGGCGCTGGGGCACCGAGAGCCTTTGAACTGTTTTCCTAAAGGAAGGGGGAGGCTTTTTTTTTTTTTTAAACCCCTAATTCTGGAAAAGGTTAAAGCACACTTTTCTCAAGACAGAATTATGACCCTCATGCCAGAGGTTTTATTTAACTTATGTTGGTTTTAAACCCTCGGCCTGAGAACAGAGAACAGAGTGAGCGTGGCAGAGGCATGCCCTCTTCTGGGGATACCAGTGGGGGCCTCTGGGCCTCCTGGCAGGGGTCACTTGGGAAGAACAAGAGGTTGTGTCAAAGGCCGTGCCGGATGTTGAAGTGGAATTTGGTGGGTTTGTCCTGGACCATTGTTCGGCCACAAGGGCAATGGAAAAGGCCACTGTCAGTCCTGGCTTCAGGCGTATGTGTGTGTATGTGTGTGTGGCAGCAGGACCTGGAGTACTGGCCGTGTGGGGGTGGACACACCCAGCATAGGTGCCCTCTAGGGGTGGGTGCACCCAGTGTGGGTGCCCTCCAGGGGTGGGCGTGCCCAGCATGGGTGCCCTCTAGGGGTGGACGCGCCCAGCGTGGGTGCCCTGCAGTATTGCCCTGAGAAGCAGATACGGGCCATGGTGGCCACACTGGCACTGTGCTGCTCTGTTTAGCTGGGCATGCACTCTGGGCTGGGCAGGAAGTAAGATGAGGACAGCTGCTGGGCTGTGGACAGTTGTTCACAGGGCTGCATGCCTTGCAGGTGGGCCTGGAGGGGCTGGGCAGCCCTTAATGGAGGGCTGAAATTGCACGCTGAGCCCAGGTTTGGGGTCCTGGTGGGGGTCACATCTGCCCTGTCCCAGGCTTGTCCTGGCCCCTCTCATATCCTGTAGAGATCCCCCGCTCTCACTGTCCACCCTCGTGGCCCTCTGGGCTATGTTTGCATCTTGGGTTCCTGGGACTTGAGCTTGGGTCTTGGTCCACAGCTGCTTTGGAAAGGGCCCTCAGCTGCTTGCTTCAGCAGACCCGACCCGACCCCCAGGCAGCTCAGGGAGGGACTGGATACTTGGTTATTTATGTATTTGTATCTTTACTTATTTTTAAATCAAAGCACAGCAAACACATGTGGGTCCATGTGGGTATGGCCCTGTGGACCCTCACAGTGAGCCCTGGGCACGCAGAACTCGGCCATGGTGCACCCCATGAGGTTTTAACAGGGTCTTGGGGGACCCTGGTGCTCCCTGAAGTTCCAAGATCAGTGCCCGGGGTCTCCAGACTGCATCTCCCTCCTCCCACCCATCTCATGTGCCAGAGGGTGGCAGCTTCTGCTCATGTTTGCCCACCTGGACCCCATTCAGAGGTTTTTACCAGAGGGACCCCACCTTTTCTGAGGAGTAGGGAGAACACCTAAAGGGGTTGGCCTGGAATGGCAGGTTATAGCCCACTGAATCTTAAAGGGCCCCCCGACCCCACAGCACTTCAGGGTTACTCTGGAGCCATCTTAGGATTAGGAATTTAGAAATATTTAAAAAATTTTTATTTTCCCTTTTTTTGGGAGGGAGGGGAATTGGTGATACATCCAGGTGATTAAAAAAGCAAAGGTTTAATAATAAATGATGGTTTAAAAAATGCACAAAATGAAAAAACTGCATACAGTGAAAAGGAAGTGTTTCTGCTGCTTCTCTGCCATCTCTTTTGGGCCCGTACAGTGATTCCTGCATCACAAGCACACACGCTCCCTCAGTTGTCCAGGGTCTGTGCCCTGTGCCCTTCTGTGAAACGCCAAGGCTTGGGAAGGTCTCACCTTTTTAGGGCCCCTCGTCCGTGGTGTGGCTGTCCCTGACTGAGGTAGCCATTGTTGAGGGACATCTGGGTTGTTTTCAATGTTTTTTTGCAGACAGTGGTGCTGAAGGCTTCCGTGGACAGGAGTCATCTGCTGGTGGGTGGGTACAGCTTAGGAAGATTTCTGAAAGTAGATGTGCCAGGCGGGAGGGTGTCTGCAGTTTTAATTTGAGGAGCTATTGTCACACTGCCCTCCACAGACCTGGTGCCACAGAGACGGTGGTGGTGTCTTGCTGCCCATGCCTTCCTAATGTGTGTATTGTAAGTCTCTGGTTCTTTCTTTTCAAAAAATTTCTTTTTAATTTTTTAACATATAGACACAGGGCCTCACTATGTTGTCAAGGCTGGTCTCGAACTCTTGGGCTCAAGTGATCCTCCTGCCTCAGTCTCCCAAAATGCTGGGATTACAGGTGGGAGCCGCTGTTCTGAACTTTCCAATCTAAGAGTTAAAAAGAAAAATTATCTGCAGTTTAAATTTGCATTTCTCCTACCAAGAGTCATGTTGAACAAACTTTTATTCTTTTAAGGTCATTTTCCCCTGTTCTGTAAATTACTTCCATTCTTGACCCATTTTTCTTTCTTTTCTTTTCTTTTTTTTTTTGAGATGGAGTATCACTCTGTTGCCCAGGCTGGAGTGCAGTGGTGCCATTTTGGCTCACTGCAGCCTCCGCCTCCTGGGTTCAAGTGATTCTCCGGCCTCAGCCTCCTGAGTAGTTGGGACTAGAGGCAAGCACCACCACTCCTGGATAATTTTTGTATTTTCATTAGAGATGGGGTTTTGACATATTGGCCAGGGTGGTCTCGAACTCCTGAACTCAAGTGATCTGCTGGCCTCAGCCTCTCATAGGGCTGGGACTACAAGCCCTTTTACCCATTTTCTTATTGGGTCGTTGGACTTTGTCTTATTGATCTGTACAGGGCATTTACATATTAAGGGTTTTACACCTACATACTTACAAATATTTTTTCCTTAAAAAAATTTCTTTTGGGAGACGGGGTCTCACTATGCTGCCCAGGCTGGTCTCAAACTCCTGAGCTCACGGGATCCTCCCATCTCAGCCTCTCGAGCAGCTGGGACCCCAAGTGTGTGGCATCACCTCCCCTGGTTTGTCAGTTGACTTTTGTCTTTGCTTAAGGTAGTTTTGCCATATCGAATTTTCTTTTTATTACATGATGTAATTAATCTTTTATAATTTGGGCTTTGAGAGCTCATAACATTCCCCCTCCCCCATGCTTTTTTTAGGACTTTCAAGGGTAATTACATAAAACAGTGTTAAATCTTTGACCTACCTAGGCTTTATTTTGGTGCGAGAGCCAAGGTCGGGATTGGTGTCTGTAGCACCCAGGTAGGAGACAGATGCCATCCTCAGACTGGGAAATCTGAGGAGAGATGAATAGAGAGACTAAGATGTGGTTGGAGTGTAGAGAAACCATGCAGGTGAATGCTGGGTGGGACCCCTCAGGCCTCAGAGGACACAGGGAGGCTGTGAGGGAGGCGGTCCTACAGGAGCTGAGACCTGGCTGTGGGGAGACCTGAGTGCAGGGCCTGTAGGGAGGGCTGTGGGAACAAGCACCCACTCCCAGCTGGCTCCCTGCAGGCCAACCCCACCCAGCAGCCGGACTCTGACAGCCCGCAGGTGGCCCTACAGGTAACAGAAGTGGAAAGTGGGTGGGCCAGTTGCTGGACAGGGCAGCACAGGATGGTGGGAAGAGCTCTGCCAGATGCCACTCTGCTACTGAACCAACAAACCACTGACCTGGGGAATGGGCACTTCCAGAGCTCCCCAGGGCACCTGGGCAGCCCCCAGGGCGCAGTGTGTGTGGGGTGTTGGAGGGCTCAGGTCTGGGCCTGGTGGAGGCCTCAGAGCAGGGCCAGTGTGGAGTGAGCTGACCACAAGCTGGTCTGGACAGGCTGTGATCTGCCTTTGTGACCTAGGGCTGTCCATGAGGAGCTCTGCAGACCTCTCAATGTCAGTGTTTGGGGGTGAGGGTGGGGGGTCAGGTGATGCTGGGATGCTGGGATAGATGGGGCATGGTCTGTGGGGTGGGGAGGGCCGGGGAGGCTGTTAGTGTGCATGGGCACTATGCTGCCATTCATTCGGTGCACTCGGGTGAAGCCCTGCTCTTGCCACATCCTGGAACACGGCCACGAGGATTCACACACGAGTGGTTATTCTTAACGAGCACCTACTGTGTGCAGGTCCCTTGTGTGTACCTTCAGGAGCTCATTTAATGCTCACAGCAACCCTGCCCTCTAGATTTGGAGACTGGGTTTCAGAAAGGCTGTCTCCTGCCCACAGCCGCACCGAGTTGGGATTTGAACATGGAACTAGCTGACTCTAGGCCTCAGGATCCTTTCTGTTAAGTGGTGCTGCTGCCTCTGGGAAGTCTCATGGAGTTGAAGACCAGCCTGTCTCCACTTTTGGGAAATTCACCCTCCACTGGGTGGGCAGAGGCCTCATCATCTCATAAGGACAGCAGAGAGATTTGTGCTGAGCCAGATGCGCCGCCCTGCGTTCAGCTATTCACGTGGTGCAGAAACTGAGCACATATGTTCAGCCCCTGTCAAAAAGTGATGCTGCTTCTTGACATAATTTTTTTTTTTGAGACAGAGTCTCACTCTGTCACCCAGGCTGGAGAGTAGTGGTGTGATCTTGGCTCACTACAACCTCCGCCTCCTGGGTTCAAACGATTCTCGTGCCTCAGCCTCCTAAGTAGCTGGGATTACAGGTGCCCACCACCATACCTGGCTAATTTTTGTATTTTTAGTAGAGACAGGGTTTCACCATGTTGGCCAGGCTGGTCTCGAACTCCTGACCTCAGGCAATCCATACGCCTTGGCCTCCCAAGGTGCTGGGATTACAGGTGTGAGTCACTGAGTCCAGCCTGTTTTAAGCATTGGCTGGGTACAGTGGCTCATGCCTGTAATCCTAGCACTTTGGGAGGCTGAGGTGGATGGATCGCCTGAGGTCAGGAGTTCAAGACCAGCCTGGCCAACATGGTGAAACCCTGTCTCTACTAAAAATACAAAAATTAGCCGCACGTGGTGGCATGCGCCTGTAGTCCCACCTAGTTGGGAGGCTCAGGCAAGAATATTGCTTGAACCTGGGAGGCTGATGTTGCAGTGAGCAGAGATCATGCTGCTGGACTCCAGCCTGTGTGACAGAGTGAGGCTCTCAAAAAATATTTTTTAAGCATTAAAAACAACATTAAATCATAAAATCAGTGTAAGAAAGTCTAAAACATTGCAGGTTTTTCTGAGGTCGACTACTTAGACACTTAGAAATATGCTAAGTTCTTCAAACAGTCGTTTTTGGTGTCCTGCTTTGATGATTCCCTGAACACTTGCTCTGACTGTTAGAAAGTCTGTAGCTGGGTGGGTGGGGCCCCCGTGGAGTGGGAACAGGTGTTTGGGCCAGTGCAGCTGGTCCGGTGAGAGCAGCTTGGCCATCGTCATGTGGGAACTCTGGTGCTGGGGGAGCAGGCAGGGTATGGGCAGTGTGGGATGTGGTGTTCAGAGGGAGTGGCCTCCACAGCCCTGTGACTGGGGTAGGGAGCTCAGGGGAGCCATGGATGTTTCTCTTGAGGCACCTTGCAGAAGCCGGCAGGTGGTGGGGGGTCCTTGACAGCAGAGCAGAGAGAGATGGTGGACAGCGGCCAGGTGGGCACTGATGAGGGCAAGTGCTGTTCGCCTTTCAGGCAGCCTAGGGCTGGGGATCCATAGGAACCCCTCAACGACCAAGGCTTTGAACACCCTGGCCAGGCAGAGGTAGTCCCAGACAGATAACGGTTCTGTCAGTGGTGAGTTGAATTTGGGTTAGGGGTAGGATTAGGGTTAAGTTGAGGCACTTGGGAACAGACACTGACTAGGAAATCCCCAGTGGGTGTGGCCCACCATCCCGGATTGCCCAGATGAAGGGATTTCCAGGACTCTTAGTTTTAAAATTAGCACAATCTGGGCCAACTGGGACGCACAGGGCACCCTGCTGATGTGTTCGTGTTTCTGAGCAGGGAAAGTGGATAGGCAGTTGCCCCCTGTGTCCTAGGGCCCAGGAAAAAAAGCCAAATCAGAGTGCAGACAGCTTGCCCTGCCCCAGACTGAGGGAGCTGTGGACAGAGGCCACCCACTGTGAGGTGCTGGGCCCCTTCCTCCAGGCAGCGCTGGGATTTGGGCCCTGAGACCTCAGGTTTCCCTGACCCAGGGAAGAAGCCTCTGTCCACTCTGGGCCCTGCCCTTCCTTTGTTTCCCGTGGTGGAGGGAGGGAGTGAGGCTTATTTCTATTTTGTCTGCACAAGGCTGGACTGCCCTGCATTTTCAGCCGTTGTTTTGAAATCCTGGAAGCAGAGAAAATGCATTTGCTCCATCACTTTCCCGATGTGACAAGTCCTATAAAATCTGTTAGAGCCTTTAATGAAACCCCTGCTCAGAGCTGCTCTGTGAATGAATGTGGAATCAAAATTTAAATTAAAATGTTGTTTTTGTTGTCTGGAGGCTTTGCCTGGGAAGAAATTAAAGGGGCAGCTCACCTTTCTGCACCCATTCTCAGGTTGGGTGGGTGCCATGACTCGGCCTGACCCAGGGCTGGGGCCCACCTGTGACTCAGGTGCTGGGCCAAGGTGCCAGCCGGATTTCAAGGCTGTGGCTGTCCCCACACCTGAGACTGTCCCCCCTACAGGCCTCACAGAAAATCCACATTGAGGGGGAAGTCGGTGCCTGTGGACCAGGCGGCTGCTTGGGACTGGAGGCTGTGTGTACTCAGAAGCAGAGCCAGTCTCTGAGCTCACAGGCTCACAGCAGGGGTGCGGGCAGACAGCGCCCTGGCCCTGGATGAGGAAGGAAGAAGGTGAGAGTGATTAAGGGGCTCTGGGGGCTGTGAATGGGTTGCTGCAAGGTGGAAAGGAGGCAGGGAACATCTTCCCAGATGAACAGAGAAGCAGGCGGAAGGCCCAGGCAAGGGGCATGAGGCTGGAGGCCTGTGGCCTGGCTGGGGGCAGTGCCAGCCCCCTCCTGCCTGTGGACGCCCTCCCCCAACCCCTGCCCACTGCAGCTCTTCCTTCTTTACTTTTCTGAGCCCTGCTCTTTGGACTTAAGACACACTCAGGAGTCTGTTGTTAAAAAACAAACCAAACACTCTCTCAGCCTCCGCCCCGTCACAGCCAAGTTCTGGAGAGAGCTCTGCTCCATCTCCTCTCGTCTCCTTCTCTTCCTCCTTCTCCCCTCTGCGTGTCCCAGAGAGACAGAGACCCCCAGGCACCCCTGGCTGGTGGGAGAGGCAGCACAAACATGAACGGCTTGCAGGCCACGTAGCTGCCTTCAGTGGGGGCGAGACACAGCCGTGTGGGGCTGGCCCCAGGCCTGAGGTGCTTTCCTCCCCTCTGTTTTCCAAGTTGGCAGTGCTACCCTATTGCTTGCATGATGAAAAGGAACTCTAAAAGCATTCAAAACATTTTAAATGTGTGCATGTGCATAAGAAGTGTTTTCATCCCAGCATAGATTACCTCCAGTGAATAATCAGCTGTAGCTCCTCTTCAAGTGCTGGAAGCTGCTGCAGAGTCCTGGGAGGAGGCCAGCAGCCCTCGGGGAGGGTGGGGAAAGTTTTGCAGGTGGAGAGACCAGGACTTGGGGCTCTGGGAGCAGGTGCAAAGGGTTGTAGCTGAAGGAAGGAGAGGAGCCAGAGCTGATTATTCCTTGATGGTAATGCTACACAGGGATTAAAACCAGTCAGGTCAACTGGAATAAACCTTGAGAATAAGGCTGAAGCTGGCAGGGCAGAGGGCGTGCGCCTTTTAGCACGGGGCACAGGGCATGTGCCTGTATTTAGCCCAGCTACTTGGGAGGCTGAGGCAGGAGGATTGCTTAAATCTAGGAGGTCGAGGCTGCAGTGAGCTATGACTGTGTCACTGTACTCCAGCCTGGGTGACAGAGCGAGATGCCAACTCTTTTAAAAAAAGTGGAGTTATAAAAGCAAGTTGTAAAGGGTTTTGTTCTGTATGATGGCATCAATGTGAAATGAAACACTGGTATGTGTTGTTTTGGTGTGTATGTAGGTACAAAATCTATGAAAATATGCCGAGTGATGATACAAATCAGTTTCAGGGAATGCCCCCTCTGGGGAGGATGGCACAGGACAAGTATTCATCATTGTCTGTCTGACAATATGAACATTTTCCTGCTTAAAAATTAAACCACAAAAGATGATGGGAAGTAGGATGAGGAGGCAGCATGCTGAAAATGGAGTCAGTTTCCAGGTGGTGAAGAGACCGAGTTGGGGTAGTGGGCTGGGCAGAGGGAGGGCTTTGAGGACTCCAGGAAGAATTCTGTAGGAAAAAGCTAGGGAGAAGGGTGGGAGGGCCGCAGGGGCTGGAATCAATCAGGCTGGTGGCTCCAGGTTCTGTGGTACTTCCAGGAACCTGAAGCCCAGGTGAGGACAGGTGCCTGTGCCACACACACCTCAGTGGGGATGAGAGTCTGGGCGGGAGAGGCTGTGTGTGCCAACGGAGGGGTCATGTAGGGAAAAGACCCCATAAGTGCTGAGGCAGCAGCCAAAAGCCTCAGCCTATTTCCATATAAATAATGAAGAAAGTAACTAGAAATATGACTCTAGTAGTTGTTAGTTATTCATATGTGATCTTATTCATAGGTGATCTTAGTCATTCATATGTGATCTTAGTTATTCATATGTGATCTTAGTCATTCATATGTGATCTTAGTCGTTCATAGGTGATCTTAATCATAGGTGATCTTAGTTATTCACAGGTGATCTTAATTTTTTTTTTTTTTGAGACAGAGTCTCTCTCTGTCTCGTGATCTCGGCTCACTGCAACCTCTGCCTCCTGGGTTCAGGCAATTCTCCTGCCTCAGCCTCCTGAGTAGTTGGGATTACAGGCACGCGCCACCATGCCCAGATAATTTTTTTGTATTTTTAGTAGAGACGGGGTTTCACCATGTTCACCAGGATGGTCTCGATCTTTTGACCTCGTGATCTGCCTGCCTCGGCCTCCCAAAGTGCTGAGATTACAGGCGTGAGCCACCGTGCCTAGCAATCTTAAATCTTTTACTAATGCCTCTCAGGTCAGAAGTGTGAACCTGGAGTGACACTGAAATGAATGACACTAAGGCAAGATGCTCTAAGCCCTCTGTCACGCCCGAGTAAGGGCTGCTGGAGGGCGCCTCAGCTGTGCGGCAGCGCTAGCACTGGGAAAGCACCCGCTGTTTAGCTGGCTAGGGAAGGAGATGTCCAAAATGGCGAGATGTCTCCTTTTTGGGGAAGTTTGGAGAAAACTCCGCTTCTCCAAGCTCTTATGGTAGGCCTGATTGCTGTCAGGGAGGCCCACAGACACCTGGGGGCTGAACTATCTCTATTTGAGGCTGTGCTTCAGTGGTCACGTTCCATGTCCACTCTCATGTTCTGCTTCTGCACCTGGTTTCTTTTGTCTTAGAAAAGATAATCAGTAATAGTAAAATAAATCTTAATGTTTTTGTTTTTTCTTGATAAGTATGGAAAAAGTGCTGATGCATCATGCTCCTTACCTCACTTTGGGTGCCAGAAATCCTGAGCCCCCTCCTGAATGACACGTGATGTACTTGACCCTGTGACTGCCATGCCCTACCTACCCTGCCCCCAGATTTGCAGCTTGATAAAGTGAAAGCGTCCCGGCCCTCGGGGCCACCGCTGGTCTCCGTGATTTGGTTGGCAGTGGACCTCTGGGCCCAAACTCTCTTTTCTCGATCTCCATGTCTTGTGCCTTTTATTTCTGCAATTTCGTGTCTCCACACCAGCCGGGAGGGGCTCACACCCTACAGGAGAGGGATGGACATCTGAAGTGAATGGATGCTGAGAGCACTGTTAGTCATGCATTGCCAAAGATAGAGTAAATAGAGCACTAAAGACTGGCTCACTCACGGAGAGCAGCTTCCCGTGGCTCAACAAGTTTGTAATAAACACAGTTAAACTTTTATTTATGGCACAGCTGCTAATTGCATCATAAACACTTTTCATCAAGCAATTGCTGTTTACTCATTTGCCAATCAGCTCATTATCCAGCTACCTCTCGTTGCTCCTGCCTTCCCACTTCCCAAATCCTGCTGTTTCTAGGGCATCCCCCTGCAAGTGTCCTCCCACCCGGCTGCCTGGCCTGCCTCCTGGGAGGTTGGGCCCCCTCTCCATCCCACCCAGGCTTTGGTAGATGTGCCTGCCCAGGTGAAGCTCTGTTCTACAGCAGCCCATGGCCAGCCCTGACTGTCCAGCATCCTGGTGACTGAGGCCCTGAACTAGGGTCTTGCTGGGCCCTCCTGACCACTCTTTTCTCCGGCTATGAAACCTCACGCCTCCCTCTTTCCCTGCCTTTATTCCAGCCCCCCTCAGCTTGCCCAGAGGTCTCCCCACCCATCTCTCTACTACGCCAGGGATTACATGAAACTGAAGGGCTCCTGAGGGCCCTTCCTCTCCTTTAGAGGGAGCGTGTTGGAATACTCAACTCCTGCTGCGTGTTTGCTGGTTTCTGTCAGCTCCTCGCTCACCTACCTCGAAGAGCACTGAGACAGGGCTTGCCCTAATTCATACCTTGGTTCATTGGTTCACACAGCCATGGCCACCTCCTGTGTGGGGCCATGATGTGAGTCCGCTATCCCTATGTTCCCTCTGCAGGGCCTATTCTGGGGTGAGCCTGAGCTGGGAGATCTTCTGGATGGAAGGAAGTTACACCCTATATCTGGTACCATGAATCCTGCCCCCTATGAGCTAACAGGCCCCTGGGAGTGGGGACCAGAGTCTTAGGCTCTGTATGCTCTGCAACACCCAGTTTGGAGACATCAGCATCAGTGGGCATGTGTGAGTGACATGTGCATGTGAGTACATGCATGTTTAGGTGAGTGTACATGTACATCTATGTGTGAATGACGTGTGTATACATGTGCAGAAACTTATGTATGTGTAAACGTGCACATGTGAGCGACATGTATATGCTCATGCATGCACACTGTGTAAATGTGTGCACATGTCTGGGTAAGTGGTGTATGCATGCATGTACATGTAGGTTTTTGTGCATATGCAAGTGTATATGTGCACATAAATGGTGTATAATGTGTGCATGTGTGTGAATGGTACACATGTATTCACATGTGTATATGCATGTGGGTGGTGTGCTCACACATGTATATGTGCATGTGTATGCATGTGTGCACAGGTGATTGCATATATACAGACATATATACATTTATACATACACACATGTATACATATACACATACATGTATATGTGACCATGTATATGTGCATATAGCTGTGTTCATCTGTGTACATGCACATTGCACGTGCTTCTGTCAGCATGTGCATGTGTAAAAGTGAATGTGAGTGTTGTGTACATGTAAGTAATGCATATGTGTGCATGAATGTGTTCAAGTGATAGGTTTGTGTGCATATGCTGCAAATGTGTGCTTTTATGAACACGTGTGTGAGTGGTGATTGTGAGTGTATATGCACAGAGGCCTCAGACTGAGTCTGCTGGGCGTTCCTCCTGGCTCTGGAGTGAATGTGGTAGCAGGGCTGAGGTGAGGCCCTTGTCTTCAGCTGAACAAGTCTACCTGGGGTGTAGTTGGTGCTTTCCTGCTCTGCTGCTTCTCTTCTGAGGTCAGTCACAGACCTGGACATCTGGCTTGTGGGGGGATTGAGTTGCAGTGGCTGCATGTGCTTTTTTGTGTGAATACATGTGCACATGTGTTGCATCTATGTCTGAATGTGATCATAGGCAGCCATTTTGGGGGCATTGAAAGTGCAGTGACAAAGCAGGAATCTGAGCTCAGACTCTGTTTTCTGCCTGGGTCAGCCCAGATTTTCTATATGGAAGTGAGGTGAGAGGGAGAGGAATATTTGAGGGCCCTTCTCTGTCCCTTAGGTCCCTAGGAGCCCAGGGATAGTTAGAGGGCCCAGCCCTTGGATTTTGATCTACTTGAGAGGGGCTGAGTGATCTTCTGGGGTCCTATCTTGGCTTCTTCAGTGCAGAGAAATTAGCTGAGCAAGTCCTCTGGGCAGAACCTCTCCTAACATTTCTTTGAAGCTTCCCTCCATGCTGGGAATACAGCAATGTCCAGTGATAAGCTTGGACATACTTGCAGTGGGAGAGAGACCATGCCTGTCCCACCAGCCCCTTCACTTCTGGGGTCAGGCATTATTGGAGCCCTGCCAGTGGATGGTGACTGTCTTGACAGATGTCAGCTGGGATGACATCTGGTTGCCTCCTGTACAGGGGACTTATTTCTAGAGAAAGGGAAGACTGAGGTGTGACATGGGCCTGTGGGTAGGGAGACTGTGTTCTGCCCACTGTGGAACGACTGTTAGAAGCTCTCAGGGCTTGACCTCTGCCATGCTCAAGCTGGTCAGTCAAGGTCCCTGAGGCCCTGCAGCAGCCTGCAGAGGTCAGGGCAGCAAAGGTGCTGCGGCACCAGCAAGACCAACAGGACTGTACACGACCGGTGTTCCACAGCGACACCTTGTGGTTGCACTGGCGGCAGCACGGCCTGTGGAGTGGAGACGCTCTCCTGCGGCTCCTCCCTGCCAGACTTTGGGAGCAGGCCTGGCCCTCCTTTGGACTAAGCCTCCAGCATTTTTGGACAATTGGCATGCATGGAGGAGAGTACTTGAGAAGGAAATTATAGACTTGGTGCCATTAGAGGGTTTGGGACTTGC